TATATATATATATATATATATATATATATATATATATATATATATATATATATATATATATATATATATATATATATATATACAATTCAATTTATTTTGGTTGTCTAGATATATAAAGTGCTCAATACTAAAAGTATAGCAGAGCTTATAAGATTGTCTATATCTTAAAATTAAATAGCGATATTTAATTTTAAGATATAGACAATATATATATATATATATATATATATACACAAAAGAAACTTAAACTGCAAACTACTACTTATTACTATTATGACTATTTAAAATAATATTTTCATGATTTTAAAATATACACATGGAAACTACTCTGAAAAGAACAAAACAATAGACACTCCGAAAATAGTTAACATTGAATAAAATGTTAACTATTTTCGGAGTGTCTATTGTTTTGTTCTTTTTAAAATTACTCAATGGCAACCGAAACTACTCTGCGCCCCCAACAATAGCTCTAAGCCTTTTTATGGCCATTCTCTTACTCTTAAGATGATTTGTGAGATCATTCCAACATTTTGCACAAGAGTGACTAATCCTTTTTTTCATGAAATTTGTATTTGGCTTATGTAACTTAAAGTTGTTGCAACTTAAAAAAGGCTTCTTAATTAAAGAGTAATTTTGATTATCACCAATATTAAACACAATATTATCACCAATATTGAATCAGGTGCAATCCCAGTTTTGACTTTGTACGTTAATGATGCTATTTTGTTACCTCTGCGCTCTTCCAACGTTTCCCAATTGAGTTGGCGCTGTAACCCCTTTGAAGGAACATCGTAACTGCTCCCTGTTAAAATTCTATAGCCGCTGGATTTTGCATTTTTTGTAGTTTCTGAATGTTATAGTTAGCTGCATTATCCCATGTACCATGCTACAGTAATCGAAATGTGGGAGTATTAAGCTGTTGTATATAGTTTGCAAGACAGATTGGGTTACAAACGGTTTGATCCTTCTCATTATTCCTAAACCTTTCGAAACTTTAGCATTGATTTCATTTATATGGTCTTTCCACAGTAATTTGGCATCGATTATAATTGTTTATTAATTTTCTTTACAGGTTCATTGCCTATGCTTATTATTGGTTCTTCTTGAATGTTTAGTATTTTTTGTCTTGAACCAATAATCATATACTCTGTTTTATTGTAATTATGAGTTAGTTTATTTGCGAGAAGCTAGCCCGCGTGCAGGCCCAAGGGGAACTGATAGTGGGCCTGCAAGCAAGGCCCGGTATTTTGTACTTTCCGCGTTCGCCCACAAACGCGGCATTCTGATTGGCTGTTTGCTGTTGGATTCTATAATTAGGTCAGTGATTCATCACCAAGGCTCTCGATAAGCTTAAAATTCGAAAATTGATCACTTTTTTCGATTACAAATGGAACAAGAACAGACTGTTTATTGTTTACTTGAAGGAAGAGATGTTTTTGCTGTTATGCCAATGGGGATTGCTTGTCGTGAGGTGTTGGGATAGCAACATTACGACTGGGGTAAACTATAGTAACCTTTACTTAATGAGTTTCATTAATTTCAAACGGACTTGATACGTTATATGTTCCTCAAGAAAAATATTTTTTGGTTGACGTTTAGATGCAGTTGCATGTAAGCCTATTCGAAACACTTTGCGATTTACAAGGCTTCGCTGAGAGAGCGAAACAGAAAACGGTATTAAATTGCCGTTTGAAACGAAACGATCTAGACTCTGAACGCTCTCTTCTTTTGTAGAGTTCTTCACCAAATGAAATAACTGAAATAAATTTCGTACTTTCCGCCGCCAACAAGAATTGCACACACGATCTGATAAGTGAAACAGTTATTTATAACAATGGCCCTACTTCCCTCACGATTTGAAGTTTGAGACTGGTTTCCTGTTGAAATTCGTCCTAATTTGCCTGTTCCGATTTTAGTTGAAAACAAGACGCTCTATGGAGCGTTAACTCGCTGGGGCTGTACAAATACGCACATTACTTTGATATGATGCCAGATACAGTACACAGATATTTCTATAGACCTTTCCTCTTTTAAGTGAAATTTTGATCTAGACTAGCGTGGACAGAAATTTCATCACAGCTTGACAGGGCCGCCGAGAGTGGAGGGGGGGGTTGCCCCAGGCCACAAGGTTCTGGGGGTCCCTAGAAATTTTTTGTTGGGCACCAGTCATTTTTTTGCGCGAAATATTTCCGTTTTTGGGTCACAATATCTGTTTTTTTGGGCAAAGAACCGAAATTTGGTATGAAAAATTTGCAGTAATTTCCCACAAAAGCATTTACAACCTACTCGTCCGGAATTTGAAGAAAAATTTGCCCCGGGCCCCCGTCAAGCTCTCGGCGGCCCTGCAGCACAGAATAATGCACACAGAAGGTCGACTCGAGTAACCGCTCCCACGCCATGATTCATCAACAAAATGCTGATGCCATAGTCCTAGCCAGTGCGGGTTTGAGAGGCATTCCCCCCTGGATGTCCGCCATTTTGAATATTATCAGGGGGGTGAATGGCGTCAGCATTTGGTGGCAAATTACGGTTACGCCAAAATCTGCCAAAATCATAGGAAAATCATAGGAAAAACAAAGAAGTCGTCCTTCTGTGTACGTTATTCTGCGCCTGCAGCTTGAAAGAGCATGACAAAATTAGTCATATTTAAAATGCAGATAATATAGCAATGCGAAGTTTGCCGTCCTTCAGTCATTTTGTATTACAAATGGGAAATTGACCATCAGTTTCATTATCTGATTATCAATTTTCCGTTTGTGCTGCAAAATGACTGAAAACGGCAAGCTTCGCAAGGCTATATTATCCGCATTTTACAACTTTTTGCAACGAAACGTCGGAATATTACTAATTCTGCAATGCTCTTCCTAGCTGTGATGAAATTTTTGTCCAGGCTAATCTAGATCAAAATTTCATTGAAAAGGGGAAAGGTCTATTAAGATCTAAGTATGACCCCGAGCTAAGCGGAAAAGTCGAATACGAGTGCGAAAGCTT